AGGTCCTTTATCCCAGGATCTGATTCCAGGTTTTCTGTTTATCCCAGATTATCTGGCAGTGTGGACTCATATAATCCAGTTTAAAGCAAAAAATCTGGGATCAGATACTGGGATATAAGGCCTGTCTGGAAGGATCTCGAGTCTGTAAATGTGTGTCCTGGTACAGGCATGTAGCCGGGGGGGGGGGGGGGGGTTGGGGGGCTTCAGCCCAGGATCCTTAGGGGCATGTGACCATGTGCTCCTGCAATTTGAGGTACAAAGGAAGGCCGAAACTAAGACAAGTCAAACCCGCATTTTGGACTTTTGGAGAGCTGATTTCCGAAAAATGAAGGAAACACTGAGCAGTATTCTGTGGACACAGATACTGAAAGACAAGGGAGTTACCCATGGATGGGAGTTTCTCAAGAGTGAAATACTCAAGGCGCAATTGCAAACCGTGCCAACAAAGAGAAAAAATAGGACAAGTGCAAAGAAGCCAGAATGGATGTCCAAAGAACTTCTAACTGTACTAAGACACAAAAGAGACATGCACAAGAAGTGGAAAAAGGGAGAAATCACCAAAGAAGAATTCAAACAAATAGCCAACACCTGTAGGGAAAAGGTCCGCAAGGCTAAAGCAAAAAACGAGCTCAGACTTGCCAGGGACATTAAAAACAATAAAAAGGGCTTCTATTCTTATGTCAGTAGAAAAAGGAAAAACAAGGAGGCGATAGGACCTCTTCGAGGAGAAGATGGGGCAATGCTGACAGGGGATAGGGAAAAGGCAGAACTACTTAATGCCTTCTTTGCCTCGATCTTCTCACAAAAAGAGAGTCTTCAACCTCAGCAAGATGGAGTGGATGAGGGATTGGAGGACATCCAACCCCAAATTGGGAAAGAAGTCGTCCAGGAATACCTGGCCGCTCTTAATGAGTTGCAAGTCCCCAGGGCCAGATCAACTACACCCCAGAGTATTGAAGGAACTAGCGGAAGTCATTTCGGAACCATTGGCAACCATCTTTGAGAGTTCTTGGAGAACGGGAGAAGTTCCAGCAGATTGGAGGAGGGCCAATGTGGTCCCAATCTTCAAGAAGGGAAAAAGGATGACCCAAACAACTACCGTCCGGTCAGCCTCACGTCGATACCGGGCAAGATTCTGGAAAAGATTGTTAAGGAAGCGGTCTGCAAACACTTAGAAACAAATGCAGTCATCGCTAATAGTCAACATGGATTTATCAAAAACAAGTCATGCCAGACTAATCTGATCTCTTTCTTCGATAGAGCTACAAGCTGGGTAGATGCGGGGAATGCCGTGGATGTAGCATACCTGGATTTCAGTAAGGCCTTCGACAAGGTCCCCCATGACCTTCTGGCAAGGAAACTAGTCCAATGTGGGCTAGGCAAAACTACGGTGAGGTGGATCTGTAATTGGTTAAGTGGACGAACACAGAGAGTGCTCACTAATGCTTCCTCTTCATCTTGGACAGAAGTGACGAGTGGAGTGCCGCAGGGTTCCGTCCTGGGCCCGGTCCTGTTCAACATCTTTATTAATGACTTAGATGAAGGGCTAGAAGGCATGATCATCAAGTTTGCAGACGACACCAAATTGGGAGGGATAGCCAATAATCCAGAGGACAGGAGCAGAATTCAAAACGATCTTGACAGATTAGAGAGATGGGCCAAAACTAACAAAATGAAGTTCAACAGTGACAAATGCAAGATACTCCACTTTGGCAGAAAAAATGAAATGCAAAGATACAGAATGGGGGATGCCTGGCTCAAGAGCAGTACGTGTGAAAAAGATCTTGGAGTCCTCGTGGACAACAAGTTAAACATGAGCCAACAATGTGATGTGGCGGCAAAAAAAGCCAATGGGATTTTGGCCTGCATCAATAGGAGCATAGTGTCTAGATCTAAGGAAGTAATGCTACCCCTCTATTCTGCTTTGGTTAGACCACATCTGGAATATTGTGTCCAATTCTGGGCAACACAATTCAAGAGAGATATTGACAAGCTGGAATGTGTCCAGAGGAGGGCGACTAAAATGATCAAGGGTCTGGAGAACAAGCCCTATGAGGAGCGGCTTAGGGAACTGGGCATGTTTAGCCTGAAGAAGAGAAGGCTGAGAGGAGATATGATAGCCATGTATAAATATGTGAGAGGAAGCCACAGGGAGGAGGGAGCAAGCTTGTTTTCTGCTTCCCTGGAGACTAGGAGGCGGAACAATGGCTTCAAACTACAAGAGAGGAGATTCCATCTGAACATGAGGAAGAACTTCCTAACTGTGAGAGCCGTTCAGCAGTGGAACTCTCTGCCCGGAGTGTGGTGGAGGCTCCTTCTTTGGAAGCTTTTAAACAGAGGCTGGATGGCCATCTGTCAGGGGTGATTTGAATGCAATATTCCTGCTTCTTGGCAGGGGGGTTGGACTGGATGGCCCATGAGGTCTCTTCCAACTCTTTGATTCTATGATTCTATGATTCTATGATTCTATGGTCTGCGAGAAGGCCTTACTGGTACATTATTTAAACTGTTATGTTTATCCATATCATGATCTGATCACCATGCTCAATATATCCCATATGTATTGGGGTAACAATACAAAAAGTTTGCTAGGATAGACCCTCTTTCACTCAGACTCAGCCCTCCCTGAACCAAACTCAGCCCCCCCCCCTCCCGAAACAAAATCCTGGCTACGGGCCTGTCCTGGTAAGTTTTCTGGTATAACCCATGTGTAACCAAACTCAGCTGCTTAATTAAAGCTTACTTGATGGCCATGTTTCAATTCAAACACTATTCATGTAGTTCTCTCTTATTTTGGCTCCCCTCTCAGTCCACATTTATAGTAATATAAAATGTATATTTTTGGGGGTGATTCCTGAATGAAAGTTATCCAGCTCTTAAGTCAAAACAGTCCATTACAATTGTATAGCATTGCTGAAAAAGTGCTTTGCATTTTCATCCTTGGCATCATTTAAAAATCCAACCTTCTATATTTAACATAATGTGGCTCACCAAAGTATTCGATTTACATTTTATTTGAAGTAACATACCTATTGCAGCGCCCTGGGAATACCCAACATAATATAGCTGCTGTTGTCCAGTTTTTTGTAGTATGAAGTTGATCATAGCTGGAAGATCATACTTTGCCATCTCATCAAAACTAGAGGAAAGGAACAAACCTATTCATAAGATCACAAAATCTACTTTCAGAACTAGCTTATTACGTATGTTGGTGACTAGTGTTATTGTCACTACAAATCAGGAATGAATTTATACTCCTTAAATAAAAGGGAGAGAAAACTTAACTGGTATTATGAAACATCAACATTTTTCAGCCTGTGCTAAATTGAAACAAATGAGAGAATGGATTGTGGTCCTTTAACCAACCAATTCTGCTGCCTGAGATAGTTTGTTAGATAAATACATTTTTAGATTGCACTGTTGCACTTGTAATATATTCAGGCTCTTAATTGTAATTGTCATCGCTGTAAATTACAATGATTACAAGTTAAATATACCTGAAAGCCCAAAATTCATCTTGAGATATAGACAGATTTTGGTGGCTTCTGGACCAGATGTTTCCTCTATTGTTTCCAAGCCAAACATCATAGCCAGCATCTGCCAGGATGAAGCCCAAACTATTGTGATCCAAATTCAAAATCCAGTTGCTTCCATCACCCATTAAACCATGCATTAGAAACACCACTGGTTTTGAAACTGGAGAAAAAACACAATGTTAGAAAACAGTTCATGACAGCAAGAGTTACTCAAAGGTTGAGCAAACTATGGGCAAATCCACACAGGATGGAAAAATTGCACCCTCCCTCAACCTGGGTGTCCAAACAATACCTCAAGTAAAAACGAATTCCTTTCGCATAAAGCAGCAAACTCCTGCTTTGTGCTGAAGTAATTTGACAGCTGGATAGACCTGGATCTTTCAGAAGACACGGGTCTTTCTGGCTGTGGGCGCTGTGTGGATTGGGCCTGGGGATCACATCACGTGACTTCCAGACCCAATCCACACAACTGTCTCAGTATTTTTGGGCTCCTGGATCCTGAAAAAGCCAAGACAGTCACCACCCCTACCAAAAGCCATAAAAAGAAAAAATAACTTACCCGGCCAGCATTTCTCTGCTGCTAGCCCTCTCCTGGCGCATAGAAATGATGTGCCAGGAGATCACTTCTGCTCCCCTTCTCCTAGTGTGTTATTTCTATGCACCAGGAAAGGGCCGGCAGTAGTAGTAGTAGTAGTAGTAGTAGTAGTAGTAGTAATTATTATTATTTATTTATATACCGCCCTATCTCCCCTAAGGGACTCAGAGCGGTTTCCACATATGCAAATTAATACATAAACATACAATAAAAAACAAAAACATGGGCATAAACTATTAATACAACTAATACATTAAAATCAATCAGTAAGGAAATGCCTGCCGGGTAAGTTTGTTTTAAGGCTTTTCGGGGGGGGGTGTTCTTTCGTGTCCAGGTGGACCCCCCCCCCTCCAGAAAAGCACAAGCTTTCTGGGGCATGTGTGGACTGTAATGCAGGCCCAATTGGTTTTTTTAACCCGTTTGGGTGCACATTAAACTCCTGTCTGGAACTGCCCTACCTTAGCAGATGATAATCCCACCATGCTAGGTGGTGTCATGATACTCAGATCCCTGCTCTGAATTGCTGTTGTCGTCTCCCTGTAAACGTGTGAGGATACGGCTAAATACTATAGGTAATCACATTTTCAAAATATGATTTCTTTCTTAACCAGCACAGGCCCTTAATCAGCACAGGTCCTTTTGGTGCTTTCCTTATGTGCAATTCCTTGAATTGTAAATGTCACAAGTAGCATTTGAATCTAAATCTTGTTGCATGAAACACGATTCCCCCAACAGATAAGGAGAAAAGTAATACCTTCCCATCAGCCTTTAATGAATGTGATTTTGGCAACGAAACTAATTGCATTGTTTTATTACATCTACCTACGCTTTAATTCACTTCGTATCATCTCTACTTTGCATCATGTTTCATCACAGATGAAAAATACCTGTATTCCCTTGATTCTTAATACCAAATGGTATTCTGTTAATAGTAAGTATATATCCATCTTCAGTCACCACTTTATGTTCCTCACTGGGATAGCCTTTGTGTGTAATAAGCTCATGCTGCAAGAGAGAGAGAGAGAGAGAGAGAATATGGTTGTTTTCTTTGAAGGGTTCTGCTTACAATATGTGGCAATCAAATGTGTTTGCAAAATAATATGGATTAGTGACCAACAGTATAATATATTTTTAGGGAATTGTCAGTACATTTGTGTAAGAAGATCTCTTGTGTATGTTGCAATAAATATGTGGTAATAACTATTGCATCTTGAATATTTAATTACACCGTAAACTTCAGTTCACTATTCTGTTTCAGAGTTCACTTTTTCCTGTGGACACTAAAATACTGAGTACAATTGCATCATGTCATGCATTTTTTTTTAGTTGAATATGGAGTCGACAATAAATGAAGTCACAGGTTCGCAGTTTGGGTGTCCTCCTGGATTCATCACTTACGCTTGAGGCTCAGGTGTCGGCGGTGGCCGGGAGGGCTTTTGCACAATTGAGACTCGTGTGCCAACTGCGACCATACCTCGTAAAGGCTGATCTGGCCAGGGTGGTCCATGCCTTGGTCACCTCCAGATTGGACTACTGTAATGCGCTCTACGTGGGGCTGCCCTTGAAAACGGCTCGGAAATTCCAAGTGGTCCAACGGTCGGCGGCCAGGTTGTTAACTGGTACTCCTTACAGAGAGAGGTCAACCCTCCTGTTTAAGGAGCTCCATTGGCTGCCGTCATCTTCCGGTCCTAATTCAAGGTGCAGGTGCTCACCTACAAAGCCCTAAACGGTTTGGGACCCGCCTACCTGCATGACCGCATCTCCATATATGAACCCACACAATTTGTTCGATCATCTGGAGAGGCCCTGCTTACGATCCCACCTGCGTTGCAAGTGCGTTTGGGGTGGACGAGGGACAGGGCCTTCTCTGTGGTGGCCCCCCGACTCTGGAACTCTCTCCCCAAGGACATCAGACAAGCCCCAACGTTGGCAGTTTTTAGGAAGAGCCTGAAGACCTGGCTGTTCCAGTGTGCCTTCCCAGAATAGGAAACTCCTAGCATCATGTCCCAAACGCACTTTGTTAGAAATTTAGTATTGTCTGCACATTGCACCTACCTCCAAAAACCTCTACATTTCACCTGTCATGTCCTGCACTTTTTAAATTTTGTCCATTACATTTGGCCTGGCCTTAGGTTTTAAATGCGCCATGTTGTCATTGTTTTAGTGTTTTTATTGTTTTGCTTGATGTTTTATTATTTGCTTTATGAGTTTTACTGTTGTATTTGTATGCTGTTGTTTCATTTGTGGCCTTGGCCTCTGTAAGCCGCATCGAGTCCTTCGGGAGATTTTAGTGGGGTATAAATAAAGATAATAATAACAATAATAATAATAATAATAATAATAATAATAATAATAATAATAATAATTTTATCCCAGTTCATAGATTACTTCAATGTAAGGAAGCATTTGGCTTAGGAGAGAAAAAATGGTGTTGGGAATCCTAATATTTGCTCTACGTTGCTTATACTGTGCATAACAAGTATAGATGGAAAAACAATGGAAGCAAGAGGGACTTATCTTCAGAGAATAGTGCAAAAGTAAAGGAAAGTCATATTTGCCATAACTCTATTGCATAGCTACTTGAAGCTACACAACATCTGGTTAGCTAGGGCCTCTGTTTCCAAACTCTGGTGGCGCCTCTGTTTCCAAACTGTATGAAAGATCTTTTGAGAGAGTTGTGACTTAGGCAAAAGTTTATATTGTGTAGAGAAAAGAGCCAAGGCTGCATCTGTCAAGAAAACAAGTTCTGAGTATCAGGAGAAACTCTTAACCAATGTCAAGAAAGAATGGGATTTTATTTATAATATTTTTACATCAAGGACAAAATTCTAGTATTGGTTTTTTTCACTTAGAAGAATGCTATTAAAAGGTAGATGGGTGGTGCTATAGAGACAGTTCAAGGGAACAGCAAATTGAGAAGTAAAACTCAATAGCCAGAGGGTGTGAGACTCATAGATTAATTTTTATTGTTCTATATGTAAGATGTTGAGCCCCCCGTGGTACAGTGGGTTAAACCGCTGAGCTGCAGCTGCTGAATTTGTTGACCAAAAGGTCAGCGGTTCAAATCTGGGGAGCAGGATGAGCTCCTGCTGTTAGCTCCAGCTTCTGGCAACTTAGCAGTTCAAAAACATGCAAATGTGAGTAGATCAATAGGTACCACTTCTGCGGGAAGGTAACAGCACTCCGTGCAGTCATGGAGTCCACATGACCTTGGAGGTGTCTACGGACAATGCTGGCTCTTTGACTTAGAAATGAAGATGAGCACCAACCTCTATAGTCAGACACGACTGGACTTAATGTCAGGGGAAAACCTTTACCTATGTAAGATGTGGTTAGTAGGGTTGTGTGGAGTGGTTAGAACAAGTGTTAGATTGAGTTTATTAGTAGCTTACAATTATGTTTTGTATTTTTTAAAAAAAACTGTTGTATTTTTGGAAGGGAGATGTGGTCTTTTTTGCTTTGTGAATTCTGTCTTTCTGTACATGTCTTTGTTTGATTGTAGGTTTGTTTTCCTGAATAAAAAATATTTGTTTTTCTGAATAAAAAAATATTTATATAAAAAAAGAAAGTCTTGAAAATCCTTATAGTGTTCTTCAATTCATAGTTTCTTTTATACGGCAGATAAAGGTGGGACATAATGGTATTACAAAACATAATAATAATAATAATAATAATAATAATCCACTACAACAGCCAGCAGAGTGTCTGCTGTGGACTCATCTTGTTGTGTTTCTAATAATAATAATAATAATAATAATAATAATAATAATAATTTCATTTTTATGCCCCACCTTCATCTCCCTGAAGGGAGTTGAGGTGGCTTACACATGGGACAAAATGTCCACAAAACATCAATGCAAAACAATCAATTAAAACAAAAAACACAATTAAAATAAAACATAGCAAAATATAACAATCAGATAAAAACACAATTAAATACCACATAAGAGTATATAACTTTCCAGATTTTGTAGGATCATCATAAATGTAGTGGAAAGACATGAATTTCAAAGAAAACAAATATGAATAAAAGCAAGGGGATGAATTTGTCCTCTGGATTAGAGGGTTTTTACTGTTTTGAGATCTTTAAAAAATGTATGTTGTGTGAAAGTAAGGTTGCTAACAAACATTCCTCTGTGTCAGCATAAATACAACTATTGAGTAAAGTTATATCTTACTCCTGTATCTGCAATTCTCCATATGTTTCATCACACACACCCAGTGTCTATTAGTGCTATGTGTCATATTGCTAAGGCTCATGAAATTGATAGTTGGTATTTGGAATGGAAGATGTTTGACACAGAAGCAGTTTGGAAAAATACCTTTAAAAGAAATCAAGAGATGTCAATAGACACATTTTTAAATTACTGGAAACCTTTTATAACTTACATCAAAAAGAATAAGAATGTGAAGTTACTTGTTGGTTTGCATTTTTGTAAGAAATGAAGATAGAAATTGTGTGTGTGTGTGTATACATAAATGTAATGTTTGTTTGTGGTATTCACCAAACTCAAAAACCACTGGGGGAATTGACACCAAATGTGGACACAAGACACCTAACAACCCAATGTATATCCTTCACTCAAAAAAAACTTGATTTTGTCATTTGGGAGTTGTAGTTGCTAGGATTTATAGTTCACCTACAATCAAAGAGCTTTCTGAACTCCACCAATGATGGAATTGAACCAAATATGGCACACAGTTCTCCCATGACCAACAGAAAATAGTGGAAGGGTTTGGTGGGCAGTGTCCTTTGGTTTTGGAGTTGTAGTTCACCTACATCCAGAGAGCACTGTGGACTCAAACAATGATGGATCTGGACCAAACTCTACACAAATGCTCAATATATCCAAATGTAAACACTGGTGGAGTTTGGGGAAGATAGACTCTTGACATTTGGGAGTTGTAGTTGCTGGGATTTGTAGTTCACCTACAATCACAGAGCATTCTGAACCCCACCAATGATAGAATTGGGCCAAATCTTCCACACAGAACCCCCATGACAATCAGAGTGGGCCACAGCAATGCGTGGCAGGCGACGGCTAGTGTATATATATATATATATATATATATATATATATATATAATGGGACAACATATAATTATGCACATGACATGTCTGAGTGGGGATTTGGGAAGTTGATTTTAAATTTTCTTTTCCTTTTTAAAAATATATTTTTAGTTTTATGTAGGAGGGTGAATGAAGGGATTAGTTTAGAGAAAAAATTAAGGGAAAAATGTAAAAGTAGTGTCAGAACCTGGAAGATCTTTGGAATTAAGACAAGCTCACAATGATGATCACTGGAAACAAAGTCTTTATTTTCACTTTTTGCCAGAGTCAGAGAAAGTCAGTTCTAAATTGTCCCCACCCATACCCTTGTATATACTAGTTTACCCATTCATTTCTATGGAAACCACCATCTGCTATCAGATGATTACCATTGGTTTTGATGAAGCCCTGAATGGCAACTTACAATGTTCATAAAGGCTTCTGGATCCACAGCTCTTTTTGTTCTCATTGCTTCTTTTGAATGAACAAGCCCTTGGACCAGGTACATCACAACAATCCATGGCCTCATCCTGTTCCTGAACAGTGTTGTACAGCCATCCATTAATAATAATGTTCTGTTCAATCCAATGAAATGGAAGTGACTGGTTAATAGGTGGCATTGAAGTAAGCAATTCTCAAGCTCCCTATTCAAAGCAAAAGGGATAGAATCCCCATTTGTAGGATTTGTACCTCCAATACATCTATTAGGGCTGGGCGGTTTCGTTTCGTAAATTCGTAATTCGTTTAAAATTCATAATTTTTTTTATAACGAAGCGATAACGAACCATTCTGGAGCAACTTAAAAACGAAACGAATTTTTAAATTCGTTTCGTAATTGTTTCGGATTCGTTATGTATTCGTTTCGTTATCGTTTTGAGGTCGTTTCGTTATTATTTCCGCATGTCTGGGGCAAGTTTTAAAGTTGTTGTTTGTTTAATTAGTGAAAAAATATATAATATCACACCAACAGTCAACAATAGAGGGAGAGGGAAGCTTCAGAAGTTCCCCCTGTCCCATTTGGAGGTTTTTTAGCGTATTGCGCGGTCGCGTCCGCCATTAACGAATCGATTCGTTATTGTTTCGTATTTGTTTCGTTAATGTTTCGTAATTTTTTTAACATTTACGAAATTTTGTAAATATCGAACTTTTTAAAAGAAAAATTTCGGAATTCTTTTAAAAATCGAAACGCAAAAAACCCCTAAAAACGACTCGATTTTAGAAACAAATTTTTCCGTGGTTGCCCAGGCCTAACATCTATGTCAAGATCAATCAACTGAAATATATACATCTAAAATGCATGAGATTCTGAAATTGGTGTACGAGAATTTGGAGCATATAGTCATTTGCATACAATTCCACTTACTTAACATAAGCTTTCTATCTACATTTCAACAACCTTATTTCAGTGGGGAAAGTCACTGCGTTGTTGCTGCTGAGAGAATCTAAAATGTGTAATCTGTATTTACAGACAAACATGCATACATACGTGTAGAAAAATAGTATTTATGCTCAATTGCTGTGCAGCAAGGATAATGTTACTCTATCATTCCGCTAATATAAATCCTACTTTCATTCCTTTTCTCTCTCATCTTAATGAGGATTATAGGAGAAAGGAAGATAAAACATTGTTTCTGGAGTATGCGGCAGCAGTTTTTTTTAAAATAATTCTAACATTTTCACAATGATAAAGTCAACTGGGTTGTTGTAGGTTTTTTCGGGCTATATGGTCATGGTCTAGAGGCATTTTCTCCTGACGTTTCACCTTATATGCTAATTAAGGTGGTCAGTTGAAACATTCACACCTAGCTCCAGCAGACAAGAGTCCTTTGTCCCACCCTGGTCATTCCACAGATATATAAACCTTTTTTCCTAGTTCCAACAGACCTCACTACCTCTGAGGATGCTTGCCATAGATGCAGTCGAAACTTTTTTTTTGCACAGGATAACCCATCTGGCAAATTGGAAAAATATGCACAATCTCTTCTCACAGAGAATCATGGGCTTCCAAGGAAAATCCAACTATAGTTTGAGCATTTCTTATCTGGAATTCTGAAATACTGAAATATTTATTTATTTGTTTGTTTGTTTGTTTGTTTGTTTATTTGTTTATTTGCCACATTTATATACCGCCTCTCTCGGCCCAGAGGCGACTCAGAGCAGTTCACAACTGGAAAAAATTTGATACCTCAACAATTATAACAAGTAAAGCAACCATAAAATACTGTTAAAACATTAACATACAATATAGGACTATAAAAAACCATGCAAAGCCTTAAAAACATTATCATGAGCGTTTCCATGTCAAGTCATATTTCAGTTGTGGCGTCAAGTGGTTCCATGATTATTGAAAATATTGTATGAAATTGCCTTTAGGATATGTGTATAAGAAATATGTGAAACATAAATATATTTTCCATTTAGACTTGGGTCCCATCCGCACGATCCCTTATTATGAACATTTGCATATGTACAAATGCAAGTACTCCAAAATACAAAGAAAACACTTCTGGGCCCAAGATTTTGGATAATCTGTACGACTGAAACCATATGCCAACTTCACTTTCCCGAATGAGTATGCATTAGATGTTCATGTGAATGAGTTCCCAATGCACAAAGACACTCCCATAGATACTTTCTACATTTGAAATAGAACCCTTAATGCTGTGGTTCTCAACTTGTGGCTCCCAGCTTTTAGGATTTCTGGGAGTTGAAGGCCAACATATCTGGGGACACACAGGTTGAGATGTATAGAAGTGGTTCCTTCCTTCTTGAGCTCTGCATGTGTCCCTGTGTGCCTGCAGAGAATTCATGCTCAGGCCTGGTTGTTCATCCAGAGAGTGACTGGGGAGTCTATATGAACCAACTCACTAAAGGTTTCTCCTGTGGTAAAAACCTTTTAAATATAGGCAGTCCCTTACAAACATCCAACTTACAAATGACTCATAGTTACAAACAGGAATGAGACAATAGAAACTGAGAGGACCTCACTACCTCTGAGGATGCTTGCCACAGATGCAGGCGAAACGTCAGGAGAGAATACCTCTAGACCATGGCCATATAGCCCAAAAAAACCTACAACAACCCAGTGATTCCGGCCATGAAAGCCTTCGACAATATAAAGTCAACTGATTCTAACTGAAAAACAAGAATTGAATCACAGAATACATGTTAAATACATTTGTCTAATCTCCATGCAATCTAATGTATAATAAAGAACACTAACCTGATGCCCAATTCACTCCACTGAACAGGGTCAAATGCTGGGGATGAGGATGGAAACTTTCAGGTTTACTGTTCATACCAGGAAGATAAAATAAAGGTAACAGATAAGTGGACCAATCACATGTAGTTTTTCCTTGGAATTGTTAAATGCTGTAAGTTATTATTTATTCCGATGCCATCTCTTTGTTCATTCAGCCACCACTTCAGTTAGTAACATTGAAGGGTGTCATTGAAAGTTAGGCACTGAATGAATAGTCTTTGTACTCTCAAGGGTTGTTTAGGAGAAATTTCAAGCTTCTTTGCAGGGGCAAAGTGGATGGGTATGTACTGACGGGAAGGAATTTCAAGTGCAAATAACTTGACTCACCTGATAGTCTAAAGAAAAAATGTTGTTTTACTTTATTGGGTCTAGTATAGTGTATTGTGAAAGAAATCATGAATTATGAGTTTACATATTATAGCAGGGGTCTTCAAATGTTTTAAACAGAGGGCCAGGGCACAGTCCTTCAAACTGTTGGAGGACCGGATTATAATTTGAAAAAAAATTAATTCCTATGCTCACTGCACATATCTTATTTGTATTGCAAAAAACACGTTAAAACAATATGATAATTGATAATTACGATAATTGATAAATATGATAATTAAAATAAAGAACAATTTTAGCAAATATAAACTTATTAGTATTTCAATGGGAAGTGTGGACCTGCTTTTGGCTGATGAGATAGGATTCTTGTTGAGTGCTTTCAAGTCGTTTCAGACTTAGGTTGATCCTGAGTGAGGGCCGGGTAAATGACTTTGGTGGGCTGTATCCGGCCCGCGGGCCTTAGTTTGAGGACCCCTGTATTATACCATTATAGTCAGAGGTTTGGGTTCATTGCTATCTAGGGGCTGCCCAGACAAGGAAATCCTCTACGTGGATATCCTCTTACAAGGGACTGGAAGCTCCACTCAGTAGTATCTTTACAGAAAGTAAGGGATCTTATGCCCTTAGGAGAAGTCTGCTTTACAGCAAGAAATACTCTACTTTTGTGACTGGTGTAAAAATCACTGTATAAATAACAGTTTTTTGTTCCTTATATATCGCTCAATGCTGTATTATATAAGTTGGGTATATGTTTAATATTGTATTATATAAGCTGCAAAAAATCATTTACCTCTGTGATTTATGTACTATGACTTGTAGTGGATTTCTGTTTTTTTGCGATTTTGAGAATCCATTGTCTTTTGTGTTAATCCTAGCATGCTGCCAGGATGCTTCTTCTACAGTGCCCTGCCGGAAGTTGCCTTTGATGGCGTCTGGCAGATTCCGTGGAGGAGGCATCCTGTTAACATACTAGAATGCTTTAGGCCTGGGTAACAACGGAAAAATTTGTTTCTAAACTCGTTTTGTTTTAGGGGGTCCATTGCGTTTCGTTTTTTAAAAGAATTCCGAATTTTTCTTTAATTTTTTTCGTTATTTACGAAATTTCGTAAATTTAGAATTGATTCGTTAATGGCAGACGCGATTGCTCAATACGCTAAAAAAACCTCCAAATGGGACAGGGGGAACTTCTGAAGCTTCCCTCTCCCTCTGTTGTTGACTGTTGGTGTGATAATTTATTTTTTTATCACTGATAAAACAAACAACAACTATAAAACTTGCACCAGACATACGGAAATAATAACGAAACAATTTCGAAACGATTTCGAAACGATTTCAAACCAACTACGAAACAATTACAAAATAAATTGAAAAATTCGTTTCGATTTTTAGTTGCTCCTGCATGGCTCAATATCGGATCGTAAGCTAATTTAAATACGAATCAATAACGAATTATGAAATTAACGAACGAAACCGCCCAGCCCTAGAATGCTTCTAGTGCACCATGTGATGAGGTGGAAAGTCTTGGACAAGCTCTTGTTGTCCATATTTTCTATTCTTATTAAGTAGGGGGTACCAGAATTGAACAGTGTGCTATATGCCTAACAGTGCTCAAAAATAAGGAGTAAGAACACTCTAATGCCTAATAAAAGTTCTGAGAGCTTTCTGAGTATTTCATTCACACATTCAAAATGTTCCAAAGTTCCAAGAAGAGCATTCAGTCTACTTTTTCTCTCTCCTATTGCTTCAAGGCAAAAAAGTAAAATAAAAATCATTTGCTGCAATGTATCTCAGCTTTGACTAGGTCATATGCCGATTTTGTTGATTACTGATGTTGTTATGTGCTTCCAACTCAGGTCACGGTGACCCTTATCTTTACATCATCCTGGCAAGTTTTATTCCAAGGAGGTTTACCATCACTTTCCTCTTAGTATCAGAGTATG